TCACTATCGCCATCACGGCTCTAACTAGACACGATTTCTTCCCCATATTCCGTAGCAGCAGCAGCTAGCGCAGAAATTTTGCCGTCCCTGAGCGTAGGAGAGATGGAATCAGCTCAAAACCTCTTCGTTGTGACTAGAAGAGTAGCAGGGAATATTCTTCCAGAAGCCCTTTGACTTCCCTGACTGCTGAAGCCCTTCCTGCCATGACTGCTACTTTTTCACACATGCGGTATTCTCTTTGGTTCCACTTCACTGCACTCGAGCGGCCACGCGACACAACCTTGTTAGAAAACAACATATTTTTTCAAAAAATAGATTTTCACCCTAAGCCTCGTTTTTGCAGAAGTTTGGCCATATGACGATAGTGTAGATTTGATAATAATAAAAGAAAGACACAGCAAACTCTAAGAGCACCAAAGAAAAACTGTACCATGAACAAGAAAGCCACCAAGACAAGGCTACCTCTTGCCCAGAGGAACAGTCCCGAAAAGGTGCTAGGAAACCAGAAAAGGATACAAGAAAAGAAACAAGAGCAAATTTCCGTACTGCACCGTACGTGTATACGGTGTGTAAGGCCCTCATCAGACTACGTACATAGAAAATCCAGTACAAAATCACATGAAACGTAAAAGGCAACATTTTTCCATGCCTGCATTCAGACTACACATTTTACATGCAATATACAGGCAACCACCATTACCTTTGACCCTACGCAGGGGCCTAGCGCCAGGGATTTGTGAAAGCAGCGGACAGTCGTACCCGGGTACAAAGTAACATTAGTTAGTTCGTACAACTGCCTGGTGAAAGTACGATAAATGCAGGAAAGTTGCCTTGTACAAGGGTTGGCACCCTGCCTGAAAGGATTGGGCAGCTTTTTAGGCTTCCCGCCAGATTCTTGTTGTTGTCCTGGAAACTTCTATGTAAATGTGACTTATAGGCTGTTTTGTACCTAGTCTGAAGAGGGCCTAAGAACCCCGCGCGGGATGAGTGGAAATGTTTGCAGAGAGGTCCAGGACACACATTGCCAAAAAGAGAAGTGTGAGGAGGTCAAAAGTACAAGTGCGATTCCAGTGCAAAACAGCATATCACAGAAAACTATCACAGTCAAGTCACGCTACACGTATGCATGCATACCACTACCAGATCCGCGGAGCTAGCGCTAGCAACAATCGCGCTTTATCACATGATCAATGATGACATAATAAAAAAATGGCGCTGCTGCGAATGCACACTTCGGCAGCTGGCACATGGCAAGAAAGAACGAAAGTAATTCAAAAACAGTTCGAACACAACGAAGAAATAAGTTTGAGAGAACAATAAATTTATCAAGTAGAACAATGTATGAATCTGCCAGGGGGTGCTTGCACCCAGCACTGGGTAACAGTAAGCGCTGACAGACAAAAGAGAAAGAACTAACGGAAGAAGAGAAATACTACAGCGCTGCGGAACGAAGATCAAACGGCAATTCAGTAAATCGTAGCAATCAATTTCACTCAACCTGTCACAATCACTACGCTTGCCACTCAAATACTACTCTGACACTGCTCTGAGCACGCAGCGCGGACATGGTACATGGATTTATCACAGAAGTCTGCAGTTTCACAGCAGCAGTCAGCAGATATTGATATGCAGATTGCGTGGTGAACATTTGTCCACGATTAGAATGAACCCAAATGACCCACCAACCAATAAACTCGAGAAAAAGACTGCCAAACGGTTCAGTCAGGATTGTATCATGTGGTTTTTAACCCATTGAACGCTGATGACGTCTATAGACGTCATTGAAAATGCCCCCCATGCGCGGGATGACGTCTATAGACGTCATGGTTTATAGTAATTTCCGTCACTATCAGTTGTGTAAAAGCACTGTTAGTCAGTTGGATCATGATCCTGGCTCTTGTACGATAGGTACGAATCCCGCTTGGTAACACTATGCGTCTTTTTTCTTCTCTTTTCAGCGATCTTTCAGCTGCAATTGCACACATTTAGCGTATTTCACGCAATTTGAGTAAACTTGCGTCCCCTATTGTGAAGCGCTATTCTTTTCGGGGAATGTATCGATTCTGTCACCCAGTGGTTGATAGTCTTGGCAATCATTTCCACAATATTTGAGGACCCAGTTGCCAGAACCCTGGAGTTTTAGAACTTTCTATTTGCCTTGTTTTTAGCATTATATATGCAGAGTACCATAGGCAAGGCCCAGTAGCGCTGAATGGGTTAAAAGGCCCTTGGTGTGCGATTTTTAAGATATCAAGAATTCTCGATTACTCAAAATTCGATCGGAGAAAATCAGAGTATTCAAACTCGGCATCTCAGTGCCAACTTTCACCCCTACTAGTAACAATCAGATCATCACAACAGTTGTAAAAGCGGAGGTGTGTACAAATGCTACCAACCGATGCAGGCGTAGAACCTTTAACCAACTAACTTGGCATCAACCTTGCATCGTGGGCTGGGAAAGACAAAGTGTAGGCCATCAGTTCCAGGCAAGCATGTTCTACTGACCGGCAATTTCTTGCCCGGCAGTGAGACATGTATTGGGGTTTTCCACCTTAACCTGGCAAACAGTTTGTCAATTGACTTATCAGAGTAGTGTGTATGTACATGAGAATAACTCACTTCATAGTGAGTTGGGCACTACATTTGTGGAGTACGAAAAGGACGACGGCATATTCTCCAGAGACAACGATGGACAACAGGAACAGTTAGATGGGACAACATTTATTTGGGAGACGAAGAGGCAGAGACCAAGACGAACAAAACGACTACATTGTGGCAGAGAGAGACAAGAGCTAGAGATCAAGTGTGAAGATAAATGGCCTGGGTAGCTATGGCAAATAGGGGCGCGCAAGTAGCTACCCAGGCCAACAGAACAAAAAGTGACAAAAGGAGAAAAAAGGTGAGTACGACGTAGTATGGGGTGCATGCAGGCCTGCCTGGAAAAGTTTGGACGGAAGGAGGTACCTAACGTACCTCCCCTGCGCGAAGAAAAGAACCGCGACCTCGCGGGAAATAATAAGACGACGAGAAAAATAGAAAAAAATGGCTGAGGAAGTAGAGAAAAAAAGCACACACACACACACACACACACACACACACACACACACACACACACACACACATACAGCACACACACACACACACAACGCACGGGTGTCACAAAAGTGTTATACAAATTATGCACTACAGCTATGATGTTCCTGTACTCTAAAGTATTTACACATCACTCATGGTAGCGTAGACATTGCCAACGACGGCCCAAACACCCCTTCACAAAAAAATTTGCACACCTAAAAAATTAAAAGCAAGGAACATGGCCTTCTTATTTGCATAGCTATACAGCATAGTTACTCTTCTGCCAATTAATGCGACATGAATAAAAGGGCGTGGCTCACCATCGGACGCCTAATATTGACGAAGGAAACCCGCGTGCACACACACTACAAAAATTACAAAATAAAATCAACCGAAAATAAATTTGACGACGAAGGACAGATGAAAAAGAAAGAGAGAAATAAAGAAAATAGGTGACCTGCATGACTTGGACGAGACGAGATCGACATTGAAGAAACGAGGTTGACATAAAAGAGACGAGGTTGACAGGGACGAGATGAGGTTGACATTGACGAGACGAGGTTGGGGACGAGACGAGGATTACTGAGGACGAGACGTATGGCAGTTGGGGACGACGAGCATGGGATCTCATGCTTGCAGCGCTTATCCAGACAGAGTAAATGTTCTACGGGACAAGACTCCCAAGTATATCTCTGTGTAAAACACCTTTAGAATTTTTTTTAGAGAACGCAGCACAACATATAATGAACGTAATTGTAGAGCATGAGAAGTTGAGAACACAATATTATTATTGCCAATTGGTCTGGTCATACATGGCAACATTTCCTTCAGAGATATGGGAAAGGGATACTTGATGTTGGCCGCACCACATCAAAGTGATGAAGCCAAGGACAGACGTATGCGCACTGTGTGACAAGCTGGGGGACAAAATTCGTGTCGCCCGTACAAAGGAAGACACGGAATGTAGACTGTAGTGTCCAGGCCCTGCGTTTGCACATATCACTTGCACAAGAGGAGCGGCAGTACTACCGAGATATAGTGGACGGTGCGAAGGCGTCACTGGATGAAGCTGAGGGCAAAGATCACTATACATTTGACTTTGCCCAGCAACTTAAACTGCCATTTCATACTCGCCGTGTACATAAATTTGCTCTATATCGCTCAATTGACATGCCACTATTAAATAGGTGGTTACGCACATTTTGCCATCGCAGATCAACTTGAAATTTTGTTTGAGCACATTACCATACCATACCAACATTTTGAGAGAAAACATTTTCCGCCAAAAGTGACATAGGGTGGTTTCTGTAGTCCCTGGCTCATGAATTGGGGTTTTCCACCTTAACCTGGCAAAACAGTTTGTCAATTGACTTATCGGTGTACTGTTTTACTCAGAAGTAGCGACAAACTCGGCCATTTGAAAATAATCTTAACTGTCCACCTCTCCACACTGCGCTCTTTGTTATCTACCTCTGCTGGGGAACTCTTACTGAACGAAACAGCTGTCTGGAGGATATGGAACATCTACTCAAGAACGAACTCCCTCGCTATGGAGTGGTGTTGTGACTGTGGGCCAAGAGTGCAGTGTGGAGAGGTAGACTGGGTAGCTTTGGCAAATATGGGCACGCAAGTAGCTACCCAGGCCAATGGACCAAAAGGTGACAAAAGGTGAATACGACATAGTATGGGGTGCATGCAGGCCAGCTTGGAAAAGGTTGTACGGGAGGAGGAACCTAACACATTTTATCCACAATAGATACTTTTCTGATGGATAACGCATAGGAATGTCTCGTCATGTGTGTTACCTGAATGTTGTGCATGAGATTGCCTCACTTCGTAGTAGATTGCGCATTACATCCAATAAAAGTAGTTTTCTGATGGATAACGCATAGGAATGTCTGGTCATGTGTGTTACCTGTACACAGAACGGTAGCCTTCCTGTTCATAGCGCTGCCGAGAATGGACATCTGGAAGTAGTCAAGTATCTACTAAATCTCCAACCCGACACGATCTCTGCAAAGAACGATGTAAGTTGAGCAATCTCTATTCTTGATTCTTCTTTAGCATTTTTTTACTAGAACTCCAACCCGATACGCTCTCTGTGAAGGTCAAGGTAAGTTAAGCAATCTTTTCTTCTTCATTGACTCTACTTGCTGTAGTCGGTTAGGCCGTTATCACACTGCGTTTGTTTGAGTCGCGTTTGCGTCTGCGTTTGAGATTGGAAAACGCAAGACGTGATATCATACTATACTTGTGATTTTCAGCGCGTTTGCGTCAAAATCTGTGCGCTCGGGAAAATACAAAAATGTGGGGAATCGATCTCAAGGTGGCCGTGGATGTTAAATTTATTTTCCCGAGATCGAGAAGTGTTCTGTTTCTGCTCCTATGTCCTTTGTCAGTGGTGCTGGGGAATGGGAGTCGATGGGAAGACTGCAGCCGTTGCGTTGCCTGTGTTGGGGTGGCAGCTCCGTTGTTGAGGCACATCGTCCAGCTAGGCTAGTCGCCGTCAACTAGTCAGCACAACCTCAGCCAGACAGCCACGAGCTCGCATCAGCTCCATGCCTCGCGAATCCAAAATCAATCAATCAGTACATGTAGTAGAAGTACCCTCGCCTGCCTCAGCAACTAGATGGAAATGAAGATTTGAAAAGCACACTTAAGAATCACTTGAAAACACTCAAAAACAATGCAGGAAGTGCTGCGATAAAGAAAGTCGGATCTGCGTTTGCGGGAATCGGTTTCGACCACCCCCACCCCCCCCGACCCTCCCCCCCAGGTTTGCGTCTGCGTCTGCGGCTGTGCGTCTGCGTCTGCGGCTGTGCGTCTGCGTCTGCGGCTGTGCGTCTGGGCTCGCGATAACGTCACGTGATGGCATTTCCTAGGCGACCGTCAAAAACCGAAGAAAACGCAGACGCAAACGCGACTTTTGAGCGCAGTGTGATAAGGGCCTTACTCCTACAGCACTCTTCTTGCCAATGAGGACCACTGTGCTAGCTATATGTCATTTGCTGGGGAGCATCAGGCTGAAACAGCTACCAAACCGATTATTTGCTGCAAAGGTACCTGTGAATAATGGTGACTCTGCTGCCCGGCAGTGATAGCTGCAAAAAGCACCTCCATTATGCATCCGGTTCACATAACCATTGGTCTCAATCATCATCAACTCAACACATGTGAAAAGGAATTTGTTTGGTGTGTGCAGAGATGTCCATAAATGATTCAAAAGAGTTCTTAGTATTGTATACTTGCGCCCATCATATGCCCCTCAACCCACAAGAGGAACATTGCAACATTACTTTGGCTCAAAAAGAATACAAACTAACCAATCTCGTACCCAGACCTGAAGCAAGTATTTGGGGTTTCCAGCTTTAGCTTGTTAACAGTTTGTCAATTGACTTATCACAATGTTGTGCGTAAGACTGCCTCACTTCGTAGTGGATTGTGCATTATACCCAATATAAGTACTTTACCGATGGATAACGCATAGGAATGTCTGGTCATGTGTGTTACCTGTACACAGTACGGTAACCTTCCTGTTCATCGCGCTGCCTTTAAAGGGCATCTGGAACTCGTCAAGTATCTACTAGATCTCCAACCCGACACGATCTCTGCAAAGAACAATGTAAGTCGGGCAATCTCTATCCTTGATTCTCCTTGAGCATTTTTTTCAGAACACGGTTTGAGCAATATATTCGATCGCACCAAGTAGCATCTAGTCACTCGCGCCAGGCCGGAGCAACAGAACTTAACCTCACGGATTCCACCATCGGCCAGTAGAGCAGACCATGGCACACCATTCACTCTTGGGTCCATGCAATGGCCCTCCCTACATACTAAAGTGATGTAAATATATTTCCTGTTCTACGTGTGTTGGGGGGGGGGGGGGGGAGGGGGGGGGGGTGCGTGTGTGGGTGCGTGCGTGCATGTGTGCAAACAGCAAGTGTAGTCAACTCTCTTGGCCGTTCTATGCTGATGTACTCCGTGTTTTGTAGACCACGTGTGCATTGGTGTTCGATTCTCATGGCTTCACAGGTTGTGTTGATTCGGCAGTTAGGAATTTCTAGTCTTGATCAGTATCATTCAGATCTTGTCCGCTGTCGTTGCTATAAGTGAAAATCTGTGGGTGCACCTCCAGTACATTTCGCAGATTTGCGTGCTTCTCTTGTGAGGGTCGTATACTGCAAAACGGGTAATGTTTGCGGCAATAAATGTTTGCGTTTTACAAATTGAGACTGGCATGCGCTGTTTAATGTTTGCAAATTGTTCTACAGTCGTTCTACACAGTCGAGTCAGTCCTTGCACTGAACTTTACATGCAGTTTGCACTGTTCAAAGTTTGCGATTCGGGGCTTCTTGCAAAATTCGCAAACATTTTTACGTCGCAATAGTTACCCTTTTTACAGTACATGGTACACGGTGTGTATGCGTGTACATGTGTGTGTTTGTGTGTGTGTGTGTGTGTGTGTTTGTGTGTGTGTGTGTGTGTGTGTGTGTGTGTTTGTGTGTGTGTGTGTGTGTGTTTGTGTGTGTGTGTGTGTGTGTGTGTGTTTGTGTGTGTGTGTGTGTGTGTGTGTGTGTGTTTGTGTGTTGGGGGTGGAGTGGTTGTATGTGCATGTTTGTGTGTACATGTATATATTAGGGCTGAAACGATTATATCGGTTATCCGTCTAATTGATCATAAAGCGGGATTCACAGAAGCATTTTTGCGATGAGACACACGATGTGACGGCCGCGAAACCGGGAAATCCCCTAATCGCAGTCATCTCGCAGCCCACGCAATTGCCGCAACTGGGCCATCGCAGAAGTTGAACTCGGCTCAACTTTTGCGATGCGACAAACGATTTGGTGTACGATTTTGACGTTTTCTACAGCAAAGTTGTACAAAGGTTCAAGAGTTGCCCGTAAATTTGTACAAGTGGTACCAAACCCCACGAATACCATGGTGACGTACCCACCTGCATTGAACTTCGCGCCAAATCAGCAAGGTATCATCTCATCGCATACATCTTCTGTGAATGGTAATTCTCGAGTTTGCATCGCATGCCTCCATCGCAGATCGCGTCGCATCACCCATCGCATCGCAAAAAAGCTTCTGTGAATCCCGCTTTACAACAAAGCAACTTCGATTATGCTGTCTATTTCAATTACGTGATTCTAAAAAAATGATAATACTTGTAATATAAAATAAAAAAACGTGTAAAAGATGTCATGCACATGACTGTACTACGTAGTAGTAGGATCCGATAATGTTACGTACATAAGTCACCGGAGGATGTACCCAGTGTGCTGACAGTGCTCAACACCACGAAAACAGAGCATAATACAAAACAACAAGGACAATCAAGGCGTGTTTGCTGCTAACAGTTACTTCAAGTTTCATGCTCCCACAATCATCAGGAAACATGATTGCGAGAACATGAAACTTGAAGTAGCAGCAAACAAGCCTTGATAGTCATTGTTGTTTCAAACATAAGTAATTGTAGAGGCCAAATACCTTGGTTTTTTGATAGATGACCATCTCACCTTCCAGCCACAGATTCAGAAATTGTGTAACTCATTGTTTGCTAAAGTTGCTGCATGCCGACATGGCCGTAGAACTTTAACAAGTGATGCAAAGCGAACATTCTACTTGTCTATTATTCAGTCTACCCTAGACTACCGTATTATCTCTAATATGGCCGGCGATCTGCTAAAACCACCCTTCGGTGCTGTGTAATTTTTCGGAGAAAATGATGAAAACGTCAGCACGTCTCGATTTTCTCATCATCGCAGGTGACAGTCATGGCGGAAGGAGGACGAAGGCGCTCATTCGCACAAATTGTTGTCGGATTCTCGGCAGCGGAGCGGTCAGCACTGCCAAATGACGATAGATCGTTCTTCGGGTGGTCCGATCAAGATTCTGACGACCAGAGCGATGACGAATCGACCGACGCCTCTCCGCTCGTGACCCTGCCGATCGCGCTTGCGATCGATGCGGAGGAGAATTTGGACGAGGCGCCAGCGCTACAGCCAGCACAAGCCCTCGCCGCCCGAGAACAGGGCCAACCTAAGAAATCCCGTGGCCAGGCGGCGCCCAGTACTGTTGAAGAGGTACAGGCGTGAGTGGACAAGGGCTACAGTTGTGACGATGTCAACTGTTTCAAGAACGTGTCACCGGATACTCCACTCACTGCACGCAACACAGCGCTCGCAATGACGAACGTGGAGCTGTACTGTTACGTCGCTGGAATTGTGGAAAGCTCGATGTGTTTAGACGACGCGGTGCAGTTACTTCTCGCCATGGAAGAAACGCACAACGGATGCAGCGCGGAGAAAGGTCCGGTCCACTTATCGCTATGAAGTGGATGGTGACGAAGTGTGCCAGACTGTTTTCATGTACGCACATAATCATTATGTAAAGGAGTGGAAGCGAAAACAAATTAAGGCGGATGTCTATGAGTATGAGCATGCTGTCGCTCCCCCTCAGCACGCACGTGAGGATACTTTGCCCTGGAATGCACTGCCTGCAACTATGGTGACATCAATGCACAATGGACTTCCCCAGCCTGCTGCCCCAGGGCCAGAGGCCCGCTCCAACTTACCTGCCATGTGCTACTACCAAGAAGCATGCGCATACTGAATATATCAAGGCTGGAGGAACAGCAGCATACACAACATTCCTGAAAATATGGAGCAGCGAGTGCAGTGATGTGATAATTATGAGGCCAAAAGAAGGTGTGTGCGGTGTATGTTCCGATCTGCAGTCTCAGATTGTAATGACAAGAACGGCAGAAACTCGCTTAAGCACACTGACGCACTCAAAGCTCATATTGATGAAGCTAACGTGGCCCGTGACCTTTATCAAAAGTGTATAACTGCCTGGCATCTGATCATCTGCCAGTGACGCTCGAGACGGCTGGAATCTCACCGAGCGTGCAAAGTACTTGCACCAACAGATTCGTCAGCACTGCCACGCACAGAGCAGAGATATCACCTGCCCAGCACCAGACCAAGCAGAGCCACTGTCCTAATTATTTGTTCGAATCATACATAGTAGAATACTGGATAACTGTGCAAAATAGTTTTTCTCTGCACATAGACAGGTGTATGACAGGTGTATTTTTTTTCTTTTATTTTCCATCGGAAACCTCAACAGTGATGAACACTGTATGAAGTGTCAGATACGAATTATAGTGTGAATATCAATTATTTTTGGCATTTTTATGCACCAAAAGCTTGGGTCATATTTCAATGAATATATACAATTTGAGCCTAAAACTTCACCAAATGTTTGGGCAATGGCCAGGGACCAACTTCCCGCCAAAAACTCATTTTCGGCAAAATAGCACCAAAGGGTGGTTTTAGCAGATCCTTGGCCATATAAGCACGGTCCTTTATTTGTTCAATGTACCTCCGCCCCGTGCTATTAATGGAGACGTTCCTTTATTGGAGACTGTTCCATTATTATTTCACCCTCAGTTCAAAGGTGTGGTGTTTGTAACCACAGACATTGTGAATCACCTGAGGGGCAGACTATTGTTGGTAATGCTAGACCTTATGGAAGTGTCGAATGACCGCACTTGGCATTCATCCATTCATGCATGCTAGCTATCTCGTGTGTTTGGACTACCTCCATTATCTTCCTTTTATATTGCTCTACTCTGTAATATTCAACCAGTTGCGTACTGGACAAGTGAACTCCGGTTGTGCTTTGTTTTGGGTGTTGTGAGTCACGGACTAAAACACTACAGTGGCGACGAAGATTTTGTTTTTTCTAGTGTGCTCCGAGCATTACTAGTATTAGCTCCGGCTATGGCGACTCATGGACACATTGCTCACGGTCATCGGAGGTCCAGCATTTGAACTGCTGCAAGATTTGCTGGCCCCGGACGCCCCAACTGACAAGACGTTTGCGGAACTCTGCGCGGCTCTAAAAGGACATCTCGCACCGGAACCACTTGTCATTGGAGAACGATACCGATTCTACCAGAGGGACCAACGTCCAGGAGAATCGATCGCCGCCTACGTGGCTGAACTTCGCCGTTTGGCAAGGACCTCCGAGTTCAATGCCCATCTTGCAGAAGCTCTGCGAGATCGCTTCGTCTGCGGACTGAGGAGTGCAGGTACGCGGAGGAAACTCCTGGCCACGGACGCACTGACTTTCGACAACGCCGTTAAGGACGCGCTGTCTGATGAGCTGGCCACCAGGGACGCTCTGGAAGTCTCCGCGGCGGATACGAAGAACGCTAGCGGTGGTGTCCACAAACTTTGCACCCCATCGAGAAAGCCTGTGCCTGGTGCACGATCTACGTGTTTTCGCTGTGGTGGCGTTGGACACAAGGCGCCTGACTGCCGCTACAAGGATGAAGTTTGCAATGCGTGTGGTAAGAAAGGCCACTTGCAGCGGGTTTGCCGAAGCAAGCCAGCTGAGCAGCCAGGAGTGCGACCAACTCCGCAACCCAGATAATTCAAGCGCAATGGTTCAGCGATGACAGGTCACAACTATTAAATTTTGTTTGCGAGCGACGAGGACGACCAGTCCGGCATTCGCTATGTGCATGTCTCCAAGATCCAGTCGAGCGGAAAGCCACCAGCACCACTCACGATAACCGCACAGATCGCGGGACAGGAGTTATCTATGGAAGTAGACACGGGCGCTGGTGTCTCTGTTTTACCAGCCGCAACATACGTGCACTTGTTCTCCGAACACCCGCTTCGCCCAGCAAAACTGGTGCTGCAAGCCTACAACTGTGAATCGCTTCGATCGCAAGGCGTGCTGCGCTTGCCTGTCACCATCAACGTTCAGCAAGCGGAGGCTGAGCTGTACGTGGTCGACTGCAAGGGCCCAGCATTGCTAGGACGCACATGGCTCCAGCAATTTCGCCTCAACTGGACGGAGTTGGCGGCTATCAGTAATGTGAAATCCTCACTCCAGGAGTTACAACGTGAATTTGCAGCAGTATTCAATGATGAACAAGGATTGTTCAAGGGGGCGAAAGCCAAGCTCACGCTGAAGTCTGATGCGACTCCAAAGTTTGTCAAGGCACGATCGGTGCCAATGGCGCTGAAACCCAAGGTTGAAGCAGAGATATGTCGCATGGAGGCTGCTGGCATCGTCACTCCGGTGGATTGGAGCGAATGGGCAACACCTGTGGTACCTGTTCTGAAGCCAAACGGCCAGGTCAGGCTATGTGGAGACTTCAAGGTGACGGTGAACCCCCAGCTCCACATCGACCAACACCCGTTGCCGCTCATCGAGGAGATCTTTGCCTCACTCTCCGGAGGGCAAGAGTTTACAAAACTCGATCTGAAGGCAGCGTACACGCAGATAGAGGTGGACGACGAGTCAAAGCCCCTGCTTACGCTCAACAGCCATCTGGGTCTGTTTCGACTCAACCGTCTCCCATACGGGATCGCGTCTGCTCCAGCGCTATGGCAACGAGCCATGGATTCTCTGCTACGAGACCTGCCAGGTGTTAAGTGCATGATCGATGACATCATCGTCACTGGCCGCACACCGGAAGAACACCCCAACACGCTGATGAAGGTGCTCCAACGTCTCGCTGATGCGGGCCTCAAGCTCAACCTGGCCAAATGCCACTTCTTTCAGCCGAAAGTGGAATATTGCGGCCACGCCATCAGTGCACAGGGCCTGCACACGATGCCGAGCAAGGTTGATGCAATTTGTGATGCTCCACCGCCGGAAAACGTGCCGCAAGTACGCAGTTTTCTGGGGCTCATCACCTACTATCAACGCTTCATTCCGAAGATTTCAACTATCCTGAGTCCACTAACAGCGCTGCTGCAAAAAGGAGCGGCGTTCGAATGGACAGATGAGTGCCGACAAGCCTTCCAAGAGGTCAAGCAGGTGCTGTCATCCCAACAGGTGCTCACACACTATGACCCGACACTGCCCGTTCGTCTCGCAAGTGATGCGTCACCATACGGGGTTGGAGCAGTCTTGTCGCACATCCTGCCATCTGGAGAAGAGCGACCGATCGCATATGCCTCTCGAAAGCTCTCGAAAGCGGAACAGGCATATTCGCAGATCGACCGTGAAGCGCTCGCAATAGTGTGGAGTGTGAAACGCTTCCACAACTACCTGTACGGCCGGCATTTGGAGCTGCTCACGGACCACCAGCCGTTGGTATCAATCTTCCACCCGAGGAAAGGCCTGCCTGCTATGACCGTAGCACGTATTCACTATGCGATGTTCCTGGCCGGACATGACTACACGATCATGTACCGCCAAACAGACAAGCATTGCAACGTCGACGGATTGTCACGCCTGCCGGTAGGAAATCCTCCAGTACCAGATATGGCAGAGGAAGCGGTCAACATGTTCTACATGGACCAATGCGAACCACTCCCAGTAACGGAGGAGCAGATCAAGGAGGCAACAGCCAGCGACAAGCTATTGCGTGAGGTCCATCGCTATGTGCAACAAGGTTGGCCGAAGTCGTGCCCAAGAGCAGAGCTACAGCAGTACTTCCAACGTCGCAACAAGCTCAGCATTAGCAACGAGTGCTTGCTATGGGGCAATCGCGTCATCATTCCGCCGGACCACCGGAAAGCTGTCCTGACAGAGCTTCATGAAGGCCATCCAGGAATGGTACGAATGAAGGCATTGGCGAGAAGCATCCTCTGGTGGCCGGGCTTGGACGGCGACATAGCAGACGCAGTCAAAGCATGCCTCGGATGCCAAAGTGTCCAGAGCGAACCTGCTGCAGCACCAGTGCACCGATGGAGCATGCCAGACCGCGCGTGGCAGCGCGTCCACGTAGATTACCCTGGTCCATTACGGCAAACGATGTGGCTCGTCATTGTCGATGCCTATTCAAAATGGCCCGAAGTCATTCCGATGCCTTCCACAACGTCTTTGGCTACCATCGCGAGTCTCAGGACAGTATTCGCCAGATATGGTTGCCCAGACCTCATCGTCAGCGACAATGATCCACAATTTGCATCTGCAGAGTTTGCCGAGTTCCTCGCCTAGAACGGCATCGCTCACAGACGAACGGCCAAGCTAAAAGGTTCGTCCAGATCTTTAAACGGGCAATCCAGGCAGTACCACTGTCAATGCCTGCACAGATTGCTGCTGACCGGTTCTGCTGACAGGTTCTTGTTGAGCATTCTCTGCAGTTTTCTTCGCAAGCCCTATTCAAAAATGGAAAATAATGAGTTCTTTGGAGGAAATGAATTGAGTAGACGAGGAAAAATACCGACCCTCTACAGAGGAGGTCATACTCCGAGACAAATTATGGACATAACCGGTTACAAGAAGACTCAGGTAAGTGAAACAGATCATCAATAATGTGATAAATTCGAGAACAAGTCACAAAACAATCTTCGATTTTATTGTCCATGTTCAGGTAAAGGACACATGCCATCGAGTTGAAATTGGGAGAAGCGTAGCAAGACAGGCGGGCAGCGGAACAATGCAGAGACTCTCACCTGTGGGCATGGAGTTTGTTGCTGATCACATCGCTGCCAATCGTTTCGCGAGCAGTGAGAAGATTTCTGAGGTTCTGGACACGGAGCAACCTGGTGGGGAAATGGCAGCCTTCCAGCACAGTACACAGAAACCTCAGACGGAATAATTACAGGTTCGGGCGGCCGGTGCGTAAGTTTGTTCTGAAAGAAGCAGCAAATAACAGCCAGCTAGTATGGGGAATTGAGCATCGCCAGTTTGACTTTGACCGCGTCGTCTTTGCAGACTAGGCATGCTTTGCCTCCTTGGGTCCTGGCGGGCGTGTTATGTCCTGGTACCCGCGGGACAACAAGCCAATAATTGAGGTGCCACACTATCCAGCAAAGGAACACGTTATCGGGGCCATTTCACTTTTCGGAACCGTTCGGCATTTGTCCTTTGCTTTGACGTGGAGTGCAGCAACGTTCGCCCAAGGAATGGCAGCCGACATTGTACCGAGTGGCATCGGATTCTTTGCAAACGAGTGGTCTTTGCAGCTCGACAATGCTACCTCCCACACGCCAGCTCAAGCACGGTAGGATCTTCTCGATAGCGGAGTACCCAACATCCTGTTTCAACCTCTCTGCTCGCCGGACATGAATCCAATTGAGAATTTGTGGGCACTTCTCAAGAAGAGAATAATTCCACATCGCTGCGAGACTGTTGACTAGCTGGTTCAGGCACTGCACCTGGAGTGTGACTCGTTTGCTCCTGACACGGTCTCCCCATGCGTGGAGTCAATACCACGTCGTGTTGAAGCCCTAATCGAAGCAAACGATGGCCACACAAAATATTGAAGCCCTGCTGCTCTGTGTATGAAATAAACTGCTTTAAAATGATCTCTGTCTTCTTTACTTGTCCTGAACTGAAATGAATGTTACCAAGAGTATATAACCCCCCCCCCCCCCAAGAGTGTGCAACTCCTGATATCTTTTCTATGGGGTACGCTGACGGCGAAAACTCACATCACATGGTGCAGTGTCTCAGTTGTACGATTCCAGCCCGTTTTTAGCGAGCAGCGGAGTAATAAAAAAGCACTCTCTGACAGAAACTCACTGCGCGTATTCAAATCCCCAGCATGATCATGGCAGATATTCGGATTGCGCGCACGCTATCCTTCGTTTGTATGTAGTACGAAGATATCTGAGGCACGTGATGTGATGTTTCGCCGTCGCAGACCCCATATGCAGAGTTGCACACTCTTGGGGGGTTATATACTCTTGATGTTACTCTTCTCTTTATTTGGCGCGGTTTTTTAACACTTTGGTGCTAGCATGCATGTGTAACAAGTTATGGACAAACTCCATGAAGTTAACTTTGCCTCACCTTAGACGAGTTCCTGGGGTGGGGGGTGTCATAATCTTCCAGTTAATCATGCGGCTTGCAGCGTTTATCCAGATATAGCAATTTTTCTACGTGACAAGACTCCCAAGTATATCTGTGTAAAACACGGTTAGATTTTTTTTAGAAAACACAGCACAACATAATGAACGTAATTTTAGAGCATGAGAGCACAATAAAAGTATTGCCAATTGGTCTGGTCATAGATGGCAACATTGCCTTCAGAGATATGGGAAAGGGATACTTGATGTTGGCCGCACCTCGTCCAGCCATTCCACGATATGACAATTGTCGATTCCAGTAGAGTACTGGTGCTCGTGATATCCGTTTGTTGGTTTTGTTGTTGCTGCTATGGATGCTATGGCTGTGTAGGTTGGGAGAACTCCTCTCGGTGAAGCAGTGTGCGCTGGGGAAGCAGGCTGTGTACCCTACTTGCTGGACGTCACCTGGGCTATGCTTCCATACGATGAGGTAAGATTTGTGAAAAGTATGTTCTGTTATGAATAGGTCTCCCTGTTTTGTCTGAGAAGATATGTTGGGTTACTGTGAAAACCTTTGCTCTGGAACCACTCCTCCCCGCCCCCCCCCTCCCCCTCACCTGCATAAGTTTTCATCAGAATGGTATGATTGTTTTTCCTGAAACATGTAGCTGTACATGAGGTTGGATAACATGGACGATCTCCGTGTAAGCCGGTTTACATATGATGAAATAGTACTTTCGTAACTGGTGGTGTTGGTGGACATTATAGTGTAACTTGTATTTCCTTGGTACTTTTTATTCTCCATGAAGTCTCCACGTCGATTATTTGAAGAGTACTTTCTGCATTATAAATGTGTAAGGGAAAACTAACATGTGTTCTTCTCTAGTCTATTTCCTCACTGTCTACTTCAAGGTGTATTGGGTATCATCATTGTGCACAGTGTATCTCTTTTTACCATTCACTTTAATCCACTTCTAACATGTGAAGTATTGAGCGTTGTCTGAAAGGTCTATCATGTCTTACTGTGCACCTGTGCTATATACGGTGTAACAAGTAAAGTGGTCGGTGCTTTTCTGTGTGTTTTTTTTGTTTTGTTATGCAATGGTTATTGTGACCAGTGAAATTGATGACAGTGAAGAGTGTATTGCTATACAAATATTGATTCTGTGTTTCCAATCCAGGCCAATGAGATCGTGGAGGAAGTCAGGAGAATAGCTGAAAAGAAGGAAAGCATGCCAATATTGAACTTGATTAAGGTTAGAAATGTCATTCCTTAGGATTTCTAACTACAGTAAAACCTGGTTTAAGCGACCACCCAACGGTGCAAGCAAAAGTGGTCGTTAAAGCCAGGTGGTCTTTAGAACTAGGTCCCACAGTGTCTGTGTAGAGCTGTTGGTGCATGGAAAACGGTTGTTAAGAGCAGGTGGTCGCTAAACCCAGAGATCGCTTACACCATGTTTCACTATATTTGCTCATGGTTGAGAGGAAAGACAGATTGGTACAAGTTGTGTGTAACGAGCCAACCGATGTAACCAGATCAAAAAGGATTCAATTAGAAGATGTACAAAGCACACAACTGACAGGATACTGAGACATTCAATGCCCTGACACCTAGATCTGACACATCTCCAAAGCGAAAAACGAACAACATTCCAAGGTAGAAAGCACAGGTAAGGGAAGTCCAATGAGGAGAAGGAGAAGGGAAGCGCAAACAGGATGATAATAAGTAATAAGTACATCTCATTTGAAGATTTGTTTGCTTTTCTTGTGACAGGCATAATACATGTTACGTGGTGTGTATCAGTGTGCTTGTGTGCGTGTGTGTGTGTGTGTGTGTGTGTGTGTGTGTGTTTACTAAGTCCACTATGCTCCCGAATGAATGCGGAAAGTGGTGGCGGGGTCCTGCTGCTCAGCCGACCTTGGTGGTATCCGCGTCTGCAAAGACAAAGAGCGCCAAGAAAAATAGAGAAGGACATAAGAGAGAGAGAGAAAAACAAGACGAGAGCAAGGCATGTATACGGAAGTGCAGCACCCACTATTAGCGCCCACACATCCACTGCAGAGGGATAAAGATGTAAAAAGATATGTTGGATTGTGAAATTTGGTCAATCAGAACTTAAGTTAAGGAAGTCAAAGAGCGTCAGTTGCTCTCTGCCAGTAAAGGCGCAGCAGGTACTTATGGAATATTTCCTTGAAGGACTGCAGCTGTTGTGGGTGGGGTGCAGATCGCAAGACATGTCCTGGCAGGCTGTCCCACCTTGGGAAGGCGAAATCGGGGAACCCATTGCGGAGGCTGCTTCGGGAGTGTTGATTTTAGCTGGTTCTGGTGTTGCTGAGCGATCTGAGTAGCCAGCCTGGTCGATGATCAGCACGGAGGGCGCGGGTCGGCTGGGGCTGGTAGAATGGCCTTAAAGGGATTTGTCGGGAACAGATAGGTTAGCTTGAGGAGGAGCGACAGGGATGCAACCATTCTGCGGTGCTCCAGGCTAGGAAGCCAAACTCCCGGGCCGATGATCTTTAGCGCCCTGTGCTGCATCTTGTCCCGGCGGGAGGTACTGGAGCCCATCCACACCAGGGAGCAGTACTCCATGAGAGGGCGGAAAAACCCCTTGTACACAGTGGTGCGACCTCTGGCGTCTAGGAGGGGGGCAACCTTGGCAAGGAAGTGGAGCCGCTGAGCAGCTTTGGTTGCAATGGAATGGAGGTGCGTAGAGAAGGACAGCTGGGTGTCAAAGGTGACACCAAGCAGCGTAATATCCCGCTCCTCCGGGATGGCAGCTCCTGCAAACAGTACTGGTGGCATGGCTGGGGGTGGCTTACGGTGGTCAATGGTCATCGCCTGAGACTTGGATGGCTCAAATGTCACTCTCCAGTCTGCGCCCCACTCAGCGACGCTGGCCATGGCGGCTTGGAGCTGCACTATGGAGTCGGCAATGTCGGATATGGCAGATAGGCACTGGTAGAGCGTCGTATCATCCGCATAGGTGGCAAGTTCGGAGCCCGCTGGTACTAGTAAATGGTCCTCACAGTCGTTCACGTAGAGGAGAAACAATGCGGGACCGAGAATGCTGCCCTGCGGGACACCAGACTGCACAGGTTGAGCTGAAGACTGCTGGCCACTTACAACCGCCTGGAGGCGACGGTTGCCAAGGTAGCTGGACAGCCAGCCATGGAGGTGACCATGTAGCCCTGAAACTGAAGCCTTGTGCAGCAGACCGGGGTGACCGACTTAGTCAAAGCACCGGCGATGTCGATGGCAAGTACACGGACTGTAACAGTCCAACTAACTTCAGTAGTCATTCTTGGAATAAGCAATGATCCTTGCCATAATGCATTCTTATATACATGAACAAGCAATGATGGACATAACACCTAACAGCAGCAGCGTGATAATAGCAGGTGATAAGTGTATCCTATTCCTAGTGTTAGTAGTAACAGTGAATCTGTTACACGGACAGCTCCTCCAAGGCCGGCTGTTTTCGACCATTCGTTGTGGAGCTTAGTGAGGATGTCGGCAGTACAGAGACCCTTGCAAAACCCGAACTGCCTGGACGAGAGGACATGGTGTTTCTCAAGGGAGTTGGTTATATGCTGGTTGACAATAGCCTCGATTAACTTCGAAATAATGGGCAACAGGGACACGGGGCGGTAATTCTGGGGGAGACTCTTGGACTTCTTCTAACGGATGGGCACTACCCTCGAGATCTTCCATGATGCTGGTTGCACCTGGCTGTGGAAGCAGAGAGAGAATAGCTTGGCCAGTGGTTTGCAGAGGACATCTGCACACAACTTCAAAACCCGTGCCGGGACAGCATGCGGACCAGTGGCTTTCTCAGGATTCAGTCTGCGTAGCTCTCTCCGTACTGTTGCTTTCCGAAAGTGCACATAAGACAATGTCTGGGCTGTCCGTAGTCTGACACGGGGGAAATCCACAGAATTGTGTGTTGCAGGAAAGTCATTGCCTCCTAGGCTGCATTTGGAGGCAAAGAACTGCCCAAAACACTCTGCCTTTTCCGCATTGGATATGCACTCGTGCCCAGACTGGTCGACGAGAGTGGGGATGGCAGTATTGCGGCAACTGCCTCCTGCCTGCTTGATTGTGGACCACCAGCCCCGGTCAGATAGGTTGCCCGCAGACAGCTTGTTGCGCTGAGTGGTGAAATGCACATATTTTGCTCGGTCAATAGTAGCAGTGCAGTGCTGAGGGGCTAGTCTGGCTGTGTGCTTCTTGCTGTCACTAGGGTCTTGCGCGGCAGCTTTCCACGCATGTTGCTTGGTCCGGACAGCGTCAGTGCATTCCGAAGACCACCATGCTGGGTCAGATGGACGTGATGACAGCTGTCGCTACGGAATAAAATCTCTGCATGCCATCTAGTAGAACGTTTGTAAAGTTGGAGCACGACCGTTCAGGGCAGCCAGTAATCGTGCTGTCCCAATCATGGTTACGGAAAAAGTGGTTGAGCCGACCCCAGTCGGTCTGTTTGTACCTCCAGACGGTGTGGGAGGTTTTCGGTTCCTTGTATATGCATACTGGGAAGTCGGCAATGATGACAGAGTGATCTGATGCTCCCATTGGGGCAAGGCACTTGATTGGTATCTTGCCGGGGAAGTCTGACATGATGAGGTCAAGAGTGTTGCTGCCTCGGGTTGGTTTTGTTACATGCTGCTCAAGTCCATGAATGTAGCACATCTCCTCCGCCAGCTCTCCTGCAGGTGTGGTTTTTGTACTGCCCAGCCAGAGCACATGGTGGACATTAAAGTCACCTGCCAGAACTAACTGTTGGCCAAAGCGCCGAGCAGTGTGTAGCACACAGTCAATGTACTCTAGTAGCTCTGTGTCGTTCCCTGCACAAGATCCCGACCTGTAGACTGCACAAATCGCGACTTGAGTTCGGTTTTGTGCCGCTACGGACGCCCAGATGACTTCGTGGTGAAGACAGTTGACTTGCGGCAGGTGCCGGAAGGCCGAGTTGTCTCTAATCCAGATAGCAACACCACCGCCATGTTCATTGCGATCGCGTCGGATAGGTACCGAATAGCCCGGGAGGGATGCTTCGTCATCGGTGATCTTGTCTGTTAAACATTTAGTTTCAGTCACTATAATTACATCGGGTGTGGTCGTTGTAGCTAGGTGCCGTAGCTCTCCGAGCTTTGTCTTCAGTCCAAAGGCATTGGTGTGCAGGACCCGGAGTTTAGGTTGCCGTGGAGGCATCATCGTGAGGACTTGTTATCCTGCAGGGGTGGCTGCGCACCATTCTGGACAGCACGCTTTGGATCCTGTACCAGCAAATCTGGTGACAGTTCCGCAGAGGAACGCTTGTGGCTGTGGAGGGGGGGGGGGGGGTACAAGTGTGCCGGCAGCGTCAGCGGACAGGCCACGACTTGCGCTCAGGAATTCGTTAATCGTGGCGCCTTTTCCAAGTTGCTCTTGCTCTTGATAATGCTGCTGTGCTTCAAGCTGGTTGGTGCTACTGTCGCTACTGCTGCGGCATCTGCTGGTGCTGCTGCGGCGACTGCTGGTGCTGCTGCAGCGACTTCTGGTGCTGCTGCTGGAGTTGTTGTTGTTGCTGCTGTTGTTGTTCTTGTTGTGGCTGCTGCTCTTGCTGCTGCTGTTGCAGTTGGCTGCATTCCCATTTGTGGAGGTGTGGAATCTCCACGGCCTGCAGTAGAGTGGCCTTGGCCAGAAATTGGCTGACGTCACTGTCAGCTTGGAAGTGGCATCAACTGATATCCTGGCGGACACTTGCCCGTTTCCGGTTGTGTGTAGGTTGCATTAGTGGGCTTTGACAGGCGTCCCCACGCTTTCCGACCTGCGGTGTACAAACTCAGTGAGGCTGTCCACCGTACAGTCGTGGCTCACGTTGCCCACAAAGAACACCGATCGCTTCTTTCTTGGCGGGCCCGCCGCAACTAATTTCCAACTGTCATCCTTGATGACGGCCATGATAGGTTGGCTCTTCTCGCAGTTTGATTCCACAGGCTCAGGATCGACCAAGCCGGGGTCGTCCGTACGGGTACGGGTTCCGTGCTGTTCAGAGCCAGAGGCCACGTCGATCTGCCCTGACTGTTGTCCATCATCTGCACCGGCTGGGTCGAGCTGGTTTGCTGCTGGGTCAAGCTGGGGAGCACAGTTACGAGGTTTCGTACGGGTGAGAGAATTGTCGGCTTGGGAGATTTATCGGGAACAATGGCGGATTTCTGCAGGGAACAAAATTCCTCACGTAGGGCTAGGAGCTGCGCGGAGAGATCGTCCACA